CTCCCTCCTGTCACCGAGGTATCACTCCCTATGCCTCCTTTTGTACCTCACAAGGTTCTAGAGTTCTACCCCAACTAAATCCTGTCCTCATGAAAGTCAAGCCTAGCCACACCTTCCCCATGGCTTCCAGGCTGCCCTGCTCTCCACAGGATGGTCCCAATTTTGCCATGCCTGATTCTCTATGAGTCTCATCCCCGCAATTCATTCTTGGATGTGGCAATCTGCCTTCCCATCCCCAACTCCCAGTATGATGAAGTATTTCTTCACTGTTTCCTGACCTTCTCACCCTGACTCTTTTCAATGTCTGTTTCTGTAGGGTAGAGTTCCCATCTAGCAAAGGGTCTGGTCTAGACCAAAACATCTATACCCATTGCCTTGTTTAGGCACACACCACAGGCTACAGGGATAACTGAGATGGGGAGAGTGGGGACCAGCCAGCTAGCACCAGGTGCTGACTGACCATATGGTATAGCAAGTAAGACATTAGGGGCCATCCAGTGAGTGACCTGCAGTGGGAGCAAATAGCAAGAAACACATGGTACAGGCCACATGTGAGTAGCATGCTGTGAAATGAGTGAAACACAGGGAGAATCACACAAAGAATGGCCACATGAGTGAGGGCCAGACAGCTACTGACACACAGAGACCACCTCCGAGTGAAAACATGCAGTGAGTTACAGATGATGAGTGATAGCAATGGGAGCCAAGTGGCCAGTGACTAAACCATGAGTGTCACACAGAGAGGGTCTGTGAGGAAAGTGCAGTGCAGTGAAAATCCTGAGGAACATGACGACAGAGTGAGGGTCATGTGGAGGGTGACCATGTGGTGAGTGTCACAGGAAAGACTACATGGGGTGTGTGTGTGTTTGTGTGTGTGTGTGTGTGTGTGTCCACACTTGAGGTCCCTGTGGTGTATGAGAACCAGTGAGGAGTACCTAGACAGGGTCTACGTGGTAAAGGCTCATGATGAGTTGCCACATAGTGAAGAGCACACAGAGTACCTCGGGGACAGAGACCCCGAAAGTAAACACCCATCATGAGTGGCCTGCACTGTGAAACCCCAGAAAAGAGTGAACGCATGGTGAGGGCCGTACAAGAAGTGACAGAGAGAACCACGGGGAGAGGGCTGCCTTAAAAAGAAAAGGGACAACCCAGTACCAACCACGTGTGGTAAGGGTCAGAGTGCAGACTCATCAGTAGAGAGGACCAGGAGGGGAGGGCACCAGGCAAGGGCCACACATTAAGGAGGACCACACAGTGAAGAAGACGTGCTAACTGCCCACACAGGGGGAACCACTCAGTGAGCAGAAGACTGTGGAGAGCGTCCCATAGAAAGATCCCACAGAGGGCGAAGCCCAGCCCTCTGTTTTGTTCTTATTTTAGACTCTGGCCCTGGAGTTCCCTCCAGCCCAGCCGTTTTTCTTCCTTCATCTTATAAAGGTCTGAGACCCCTGGGTTAGGTCATGTGTGGACCTGACCCCAGGTATCCTGCCACCACAAATTGCGTTGGGACATGCCCTCTCTCGACACCTCCTCTTTGTGACAAGAAAGGCACGTGGCTAAACAGAAACAGCTCGGGAAGTCAGTTTAAGGAGGATATGTACATATTTATTTCACAGCCACAAGTGCATACACAACAAAGCAGCACTTGGGTCTAGGTCTGCAGACCTAGGGTGTGCACACGTGTCTATGAGGAAGCCTGTTTCTCAGAGCTCAAAGCCAATGGGGGCGGGGTACACTACAAATTCCCACAGAATGTGGGTGGCAGTGGCCTGGTCTTGTGTTGTGTCTCCAGCATCCTTCACCTGATGGATCACTTCACCTGTGAACAACAAAGACCATGTGAGATCTTCTGCCATCACTGGAACCACAGTTAA